TCATGGACTATAATTCTTTGGTGAACTGGTCATTCATTTTTTTTTTATCATTTTGTTTACCTCAGCTAGTTTTTATTAGTGCCTACTGAGAGCTCCTGGATCTTTTTGCTTATTACTTCCATTATCTCTTAATTGTATCTTCTCTAATCCCAGTATCTTTGTAAGCTGTTTATTACCCTCCCCTGCTATGCTTTTGAGTAATTCAGGTATGTGACTTATACTCTTCTGACCCTGGTGACCCCGGACTGGTTTCTGGGAAGTAGAGGGTTTGGGAGAGATTTTGTTGCCTTTACTTCCCAAGTTGCCGTTGTTTTTGTTTCTTCTGTTTTGTGCCATGGTGTGTGGATGCTTCTAGTCTAACAACTTTGTTGCTAGCATAGAAATCTCTTTAGTTTCTTTCCAGTGATGTGCTTTGGGCATGGCTAGCTGTAATCCTTTGCCACAGCCCCAAGATTCAACCACTTTGGTTATTTTGGGAGGGTAGTTATCCCAGCAACTAAGTTCTCTAGAAATGTGCTTTACTGTTGTTAATGTCACAAAGCCAATCTGAGTGTTGGCTTACAGAGAAATAGTGACAAATATGTAACCTTATTAATTCCAAACAAAATAGCTACAGTAGTATTGTCCAAGACAAATTAGATATTACCATGCCATAAGAAGCAATTATATACCACTTTAGGATTAAGCAATCCTAGAGCAGAAATCACCAATTATGATATAAACATTTAGGCAACTCATGTACTGACTTACAGCTAATATATAGTAAATGCAACAGCTTTATCTCTGCTAATGGTAGAAAAGATTTAAACAGTAATTTTATAGGGTCAACTATCAATAATCAATAATGCCTTATGGTTATATTATTAAATATTTAGGATTTGGTAATGGTGGGAGGCAAAAGCAAAACTTTGAAACTTTAAACTCTATGATATGAGGACAACTTTAATAGAAGATTATAAAAGGAGGAAAAAGTAAAGAAATTATATAGAGTAAAAGTTGGAAAAATAGCCAAAAAAGGATAATTTAAAAGAAAGAAGATGAAAAATAGAGAAATAAAAGAAGAAAAGGAGATTAGAGCAAGGCTGAAGGACAAAGGAAGGTTATTGAAGTCCCAGAAACTGGTGAAGAAGATAGGAGAGGAGGAAAGAGGAAAGTAAAAATTGAACAAAACAAAACAAAAATCTAAAAACAATGTTCACACACAAAAAACAAACAACAAACCCCAAATGAACAAAACCAAAGGCAAAAAGTAAAGAAAAGGAGAAAAAAACAAAAGACAAAGGACAAAAAACAAAAGAGAGAAAGAAAAGAAATTTCGATGTGATTTCGAGCCTGTGGTTACCTTCCAAAATCTACAGTTTTGTGGCAATGATCAGTTCAAGATATGTTCCTGCGCTTGCTGGTAGACAGAAGAGGCGGTCGGAGCCCAGATCCATGCTGGATATTCCCCAGTAAGCTGGCAGTGTGATTAGGGCAGGGTGCCCATTCTGAGACATTTAGTCATGGAAATTCAGGCTGAACCTGGCCTCTGTTGTAGTGGTGGGACTTGGGTTGTTTAGATGATAACACTTTGGTATCTCTTGCCATCCTGACCATGGGTCCTTGGCCATGGACGTCCCCTGTGGTTGTCCCTCCCAGTCACCGGACACTGGAAGCCCTGAGATGAAACCCACTTGAGGCTGCTGAGTCCCAGGTTCCGGTGGCCCCTCCCTAGAATAGTGTCCAACCAAGCACTCTTTCCAGTGTATATGGCAGGTGCTTGACAGGAGTTGCTCACCAGCTGTTAGACCATCAGCTGGTCCATTCCACTGGTGCATTTGTCCCTGAGGACCCCTGGAGTCATCTTCCACCATGCCTCTGAGATTTAATCTTCCTTTCTCATGAGCTGTAAGCCAGGAGTCAGGGAGAAAGTGCATATGGCCCCTTCCTTTTTCTGGATTGTGTTCCGCTCTTCCATTTCTTTGTAGACTTCAGTTTTCCCAACGGATCCTGGGTCCCAGGAGTTGGTCTCCCTCCTTCTTTGCTTCCTCAAATTGTTATTTGCCGGTGTCTGGGTTGAGAATCTTGGAGAGGCTGGTTTATTGCTGCTTACTACTCCACCATCTTCCTGAAAGTTCTTGATTATCTATTTACATAGAAATGCCATACTATGAAACCATTCTCAAGTTACCTCTGGTGTTGGAATCTATTTTTGCTTATACTTGAGATTGTAACTGACAATCTATTGATTTCAAGTTGTGCTCTCTTATTTCTTGATTTAGAGTCTTCCAGAGATTGTTGATGAAACTTTTCTTAAAAAAGTTTTGGCTTTTGTCATCTGTATCTGGTGACTTGGATGCAAATGGAATTGATGTTCCTATTTGAGGATTAGCAGTTCTGGAAAAAGCACAGAGAGTGAAATCTACATAGGGAAACAGAATTTCATGAGAAGGAGAGAGGAAAATTTGATACTGACTTTATCTTGGTAAACAGATAACTATATTATTACCTTGGTAAATGGTAATCTGTATTGTTAGTTTGATTTATCTTATATGAGATAGAATTCAGGTTAGTTTACTTAATAATTTGAACCTCAGAAACAGTAAATCAAATGCTAAGTATTTTTTTTCTTTTTGGAGGTATAAAATAAATATTTTATAAAAGCATGGTATAAAACTATGGTATTTCTCATTTCATGTTTGATTTCATGGTATTTTAGAATGCTTTCTCTTGGTAAGAATATTCAAATGATTCATCAGTTTTCTCAAGAGACCCTTTTGATATTGAAACTACTCTCTTGAAATGCCCATCAAGTTTCCCTTCTGTCAGTTTTCTTTTCTTCCACCAGGAATGGGTCTAGGCCTGTTAGATCTTTGTCAGTGTATTGCATGTGAGTGAGGAACTTCAAGGCTTTGTGTTATCCTTTATCTTTTCCAATACTGGGGCTTTTCCTTGTAGTCAGTTTGTGTTTTTCTGATTGACATGCAACATTTAGTTGTTGAAATGAACAAGATAGACTCTGGTCTGAATGGATTCTAATTTTAAATATAGTCACTTTACTAATCAATAGCTTCATATTCTGATGAGGCCAACTTGGAAGAGATTTCCTGGGAGAATATATTTAAAACATTGCCTGAAATGTGGAAATGTATGAAATGTTTAGTATTTATGTAGATAAGTTATTTGTTATATATGGCTGTTCAGTGACTAAGAATATATTTGATAAAGATAGATATTTAGAGTTGAAAATTATTGATTTTCAAAATGAATAAAAATCACTGACCAGGTAAAAATATTATGCATAGTTAAACGAATGTTCAGTAATTATGAAATATACAATAGTGTAAAAAAAGTTAAAAATGTTAAAAGAGTTATACACCTCCAAAGATTGTCATGAAATATAAATATAAATTCAACTCCAGGGGCAATGATTTATTATTATTTATTTATAAGGAACAATATCTTGATCTTAGAAAAAAATTATAATAGGACTAACATGTAAAAAGGAAACTGAAGTTAATTTTCATATAGTCAAATTATATTCATGAAGCTGTGCAAGTTTTTGCCAAATCTCCATTTATACATTTGGATGTACCACTGGATAAAAAGAAATAAAAAAGGGAAACATCTAAAAATTTATTGATTGATTGAATGATTGATTTTTTTGTTTTTTTCTGGTACCAGAAATCAAACTCACAAACTTGCGCTTGCCAGGCAGGTGCTGTGCTGCTGAGCTAAATCCCCAGCACCCTAAAAATTTAAAATATATTCATAATAAACACAACTATGTTAAAATAATAGTACTTTATTAACTTTAACTTTTGGAAGTTTCTTTTCATAAGTGTGAGTTGCAATTTAAATTTTTAAAATTGATCAGAAAAACAACGTGATTTTTGTGTGAATATGAAATTTTAATTTAATGACCTGAATTTTTAATATAAAAATAAAAGTAAAAACATTGACTTAAACAAGAATCGGAAATTTGCCTCTATGTGACACGAAACCAGATACTCTGGGAAACTGAGTGGCAGTCGTGAGGTAGGAGGGTCACAAGTGGGAGCCTCTCCTGGGCATCTTAGGGATTCAGGGAAACCCTGTCTGAAAATAAAATACAATAAAGAATAAAAGAAATCAGGTCAGGGATATAGCTCAGTGGCATAAGCGCCTGCCTGGCAAGCTCAAGGTCCTGAGTTCAATTCCCACTACCAAAAATAAAAGAAAAGAAAAAAGGAATCAGGCAGATTTAAATTTAAATTCAAATTCTCTTGCAGAGAACACCTGCATGGCTCTACTGACAATTCTTTTTTAAAAACCACTTAATTACATTATTTAGAAATAAAATAGACTATAATTTTTATAATGATTCAAAATAGACATTGATATTCTAGTTTCTGCTGTTGATTCAAAGGCCCGGCCTCCTTCTCCTTCGACTCTCCTGTAGGTTAGGTCTCGGTTAAGAACTGATTTGTCCTTCAATCATGTCATCTCAGAGGGCAGTCAATAAAGGCTTAATCAATAAATGTGCCTATGTCAGTTATTTTATAAATCATGCAAAATTTTTTGAAAGTCGCTCCCTTTCAATAATTTTTGTTTTTATTTATTTATTTTCTCTTCTTTACCTGAGGAATGAATATATAAATTGTTACCTGTTGGAAATTTAGGCAGTTTCATATAATTCCCTATGTGTCCTTGGAGCCTATGCTGGGGAAAACAAATAAGAAAGGAAAAGCATGGACACGAACACTATGAATTATTTTGGAATGATCTCTGTTCTGCATAGCACACATAACCTGTCTCACATATGCGTATGCACATAAACTGTTTGAAAGCAGACCCAGTGTCTGCTGAGACTGATCAGGTGACTGGAGATACATTCAGTATGGCTGCTTGTCCTCTTTGAACTCTGTCTCTACATACATTCATTCTTAGTAAAAGCAAGTATGATTGTAAGGAGAAGAATGATTAGATATAAGTTTCAGCCAAGTAATCACACGTTACCTCTTTTGTTTTCCTCGCCTCAGGGCTCCAACATTACTGACACCTGCACTGAAATGCTGATGTGTGGAGTTTTGCTGAAAATTTCCTCTGGAAACATTCAAGAACGGGTGTTTTTTCTTTTTGATAATCTTTTGGTGTACTGCAAAAGAAAACACAGGTAAGATCATAAAGGAGTCACACTTTAGCAATGTTTTATGCATCTCATATTTTCCTCTCTACTCCCCAGAAGTCAGCATATGTCCAGTAACCTGCTTCGGATCCTAGTCTGTTCCACTGCTCTTCTCATCTCCCTGTTGGGCGACGCTGCAGTGTCACTGTCATCTCATGATGCCGCCACCCTTCATCCCGCCAAGGACAGTTGTTGGTCCCAACTTGTGTCCTGCAGGGCCCAGAGGAGAGGCTTGTGTGTCTTCCCTTATCCCTCCTGTGTCCCAGCCACTTCTCTCTCTTCCCTTTGGACTCCTAGCACACGTAACGTTTCTTCCATTTGTCTTTCCTATCTAACTGCGTTGCATGTTGACTCCATTTTACAGAGAACTTAATGTCTCCGTGCTGTACACAAGTTCAGTGAGTGCTGTAGCTCTTGGGTCACTATCTTTCCACTTTACTGCTATCACCAGTCTTATTCCAAACTCACATGATTGACTCAGAGTTCATCCAGAGGCTGTGGAAATCCGATAGACTTTTATCTATAATGGTCCTTACCTCTGTTACACCCGAGTCACCTGTTCTATGGTTGTACCTTTACCTTGTCAGTATCAGCAGTTATGTAATCACCGTTCCCATTTTGAGCCTCCCATTCTGCATATCCTCTTCCTTCTGGCTGTCCTTCTCTGGAATTCCCATGTAAGCTACTTGTTGACTGGGTCCATCACCATTGTTCCATACAGTGTCTAAAGCTTCCTGTTTTAAAGAAAGAGGTCTCCAATGTGATTCTCTTCCATCTGTCTACTCTCCTGCATGGTAGAGTTTTATGTTATCATTTTTTCTTATTTCCCTCTCAGGAACCTTCAGTGTATCTTTAATCCACTTTACTCCCCTAAACTGCTCATGTCAAAGGGACTGCTCTGTTTCCTACTCCAAGTCACTTTTTCTACTCTTTAAAGGTCTACTTGTTTCCTTAGCAGCATCTAACTTATTCGAGTACTTCTTAAGACACTTACTGTAGCTGGAGCACGTTTGTTTTAGTGAGATGGTACTGACAGGCTTCATTTCATTGACACGGAAGGCGTGTGGTTGAAAGTGCAGGGTTTTGAGTGATTGTGCTTAATTCAGAAGTCAGGAAACTATAACCAAACATTTTCTGGCAGACTGAGAATGAGAGATATAAAACTGATTTATTAGGCAGATTGAGGGAACATAATTTTTTATGCCTTGAAGTAAGTTTTCCTAAGTCAGCAAAATGCCCAGAGCAAGTTAGTGAAAATTTGGCAGCTATATTAATGATACATGATAATTCATCCATGTGGGTTGCAGTGTTAGAATTTTCTAGAAGGAGATATTAATTAAAAAAAACAATGGCATGAAACACGAAAATGTAGGACTACAATATCTACCTTCATGAAAAGGAGCAAGTTAGCAGCAAAGCTGGAAGATACAAGGGGTGAATAGGAATACAGTGAATATCAAAATTCAAAAAACAAACTTTATTAATGTAAGAGACATAGTGCTAAAAATGTGTCTGAGGCAAGGGACAATATTTTGAGGGGGATTAATGACAATGTATCTTTTGCCATAATAAGTTTTTAAAATTTAAACATTCACCATAAATTTTGGTCACCCCATGTTGCTCCAATGTTCATGGCAATTTCTGTCAGATAAAAACATACAGTGTGTTCTTCTGCACCTTATTCACTGGATCTCTTGCACCGTGGCACTCTTGGCATTTCTCCGTAGTCAGAATGACATCAAAAGGGAAATGTTTTGAATCAGTTCAAGGTATCAGGGCAGCCAAGACCGCTCAACTAAGAACACGAAAGGACTTCCAGAACCACTTCATAAAAGGGCAAGAATGAGAGGAGAAGAGTATTCAAAGTAAAGAGTATAGTTTTGGGTGTTTAATGACCAATATGTCTTTCTCTGTAATAAATTAAAAAAATTTTAACATTCACTATATTTTTTATCACACCTCATAACTAATTTTCATCTGTATGTTAATGAGGTTTAATTTTTTTTTTTATTTTTGAGATGGGCTCTCACTGTGTTGCCTAGGTTGGTCTTGAGCTCCTGGGCCTAAGTGATCTTCCTGCCTCAACCACAGAAGTAGCTAAGATTCAAGGCTCATACTGTACTCAGCTCACAGTTCCCTTTTATCAGATGTGAGAATGAAGCTATTCATTTATTTTACCATTTTCTTCTAAATTCTTTGTGTTTGATAGCAAGATTGGGGTTAATAGAAATAGGCTTTAGGAAGCTGTAGAAGAGGCCATTAATTTTGCTTGTGTTTAAACCATTAAATTGCAATGTGAATCAGTATATTTTTGGTAGAATTATTAAAGACTTTAGTTTGAGAATAAGATCTTTTTTCCTTACAGTTGATTTTATCTTTATATATGTATGTCTGCCATCAAGTCCAGAATATTTGCAAAACGAACATCGGTGTACAAATTATGATATGATGTCATCTCATGGCTGTAATTCTTAAATAAGTTAAGTAACATGAAAAGCTTCATAAAACTAAATTCCTACAGTTTAATAAATAATCCTTAATAAATGTGTACTATGAACCAAATGCATAATGGTTAGACATGGAAGTAACTGTTCAGTTTGATATAATTATTCCCTTGCAGTATTGCTAAAGCCCTGTGAATTAACCATCTTTCAATCTGCATTTAGAATACTTCACTTCCTCTATGAACTGCACCTTAGCACAAACTTTCTAAGATCTAGAGATCCTTCAGATAGTATGAGTAAATGGAGCCTCTTCCAAAGTCCCACAGTATTATAATACAAATATCAAACACCTGATGTATTTATTCATATTCTAAAGTTACATTCTTTAGAGAGGAGTGCTAGATTAAGCTGGATCCTACCTCTGGATCTTTCTAATGGTCTTAATCTTAGGAGATATAGATTAAGGAATGATTTATGAGGTAGTATTTGACAAATTAATATGATGTTACTTAGTTTGGCTTGTTTATGTACTTTATGATTAGTTATATAATATATTTAGTTTTTTATGATTCAGTAGTTTCTAAAAAAATATCACTTTTGTGTAAAACAATAATTTATTTATTTTAAGTGGTCTATAACATCCCTTTGGTTTACTGTCAAAAATTAACACAATTTAATTATTCCTTCTTCTATTAATGAACTTTAGCATTGTTTCCAGTTCTCTACTATTGCAAATGTATCTTAATAACCCTAAAACACAGAATTAGAACACTGACAAAATGAAAATATGAAAATATGCAGTATTGTTGTATAGAGAGAAATACTTTTAAACCATGGTCTTCTCAGTTTTCTTAAGGAATCAAAACTATCCAGCCCTTATTAAATTTCTACTGAATATTTTTATCTGCAGGTCAGATATTCTAAGAGAAGTACCCAAAACCTATATAGAGCTCAGAGCTTGAACCTGAAGAAAATTAATACTTGGTAAAATAGGACTCATAGATGTATTCTCCTACATATCTGTGTTTATTTTGACTATGACTAAAGCTGTTATCAAGGATATTGGACCTTTTAAATATGACTAGTTTTAGGAATAATGTACTGATTTGCAATAAATTATTTCTTTTAAGATACTGTGATGTACTATTTTCTATCTTAGTAGACTATAGATTTACCTACGTGTAAGTCTACTTAATACAAATGTACAAATGATGATATGATATGGTCCCATGATTATAATGTCAAATATGAGGTATATCAAAGTATGAGGTGAATGTTTAAGTTCAATCACCCTCCAAAATACACATCTATCATTTACACATTGCTTTATTCAGTGAACTTTTTTTCCAGTAAATAAAAGTATTTATTACAGTAAAAGACACATTTCTATTAATCCCTCTTAAAGTACTCCCCTTTCCTGTGAACACTCTTATCCGATCATTCTTGCCACTTACGAAGCAGTTATGGAAGTCTGATTCCATGTCTTTCCCAGTTGTGACCCAAAATACAAATACAGTGAATGCCGCTGCCAGTCCGTCTGACAGAAATGCAGGCTTGTAAAAGCATTATAGTGTGTCTTCATCCAGCTTATTCACTACATCTAGCACCATGTGACTTCCAGTTCCTCACAGACAAAATGACCATGAAAGGAAGCCTTGTGTGGGCCGGGGATATAGCTCAGTGGTACAAGCGCCTGCCTGGCAAGCGCAAGGTCCTGAGTTTGATTCTCAGTGCCAGAAAAAAAAAAAAAAAAATCCTTGTGAATCAGTTCAGGACACTGAGGGAGCCGTCACAGCACACCAAAGACACTTGCTGTCTTAGGCACAGTACTTACACATAATACCGGAAACCCACGATTTAAGGAAGGCAAGGTACATTTTGGCTTCCAGTGTGCAGAGGTTTGGTCCATAGTCCTCTGGTTTTAAAGCAGGGTGGTGTGGCAGAGGGGCATGGCAGAGGAAGAACAGCATGTGACAAGCGGTGGAGAGACAGACAGAGAGAGAGGAGGGGGTCAAGGGAAGACCAGGGATGAGACAGACCCTTCCAGGCCACGTCCCCCGTGACCTTCCTCTTTCAGCTGGACCCCACCTCCTAAGGGCAAGCCAGCCAGAAGTGCCCACAATTCAGTACCTTCCCCACACCCGCCTATGAGCACCTGAGACTTTTGGGGGCACTTTAGATGCAAGCCATGACACTCACAAAAGAGGACCCCAGCACTGCTGCAGAAAGTGACGAGAATGATGGGGTAAGTGTGGGATGATGAGGGAGAGTATTTTGATGCAGGTTAGTGGCCAAGTGTCTTTTACTGTAATAAATTAAAAAAAAAAAACTGAACATCCATCATATTTTTCATCACACCTCATAAATTAACTTAGGAAGGTTTTTAAAAATTTAAAATCCTGTCATGTAAAAGTATACTTAATGTGTAATGTGGGTCAAATATATATACCAAATATATATCTTCCCCTATGATACCAGATTTCATAGCTACCTGGCCTGAATTCCTGGTTTACAGCACATATTTAGGCTTATGAACAAAAGAAATTTAGAGATTGCTCTATAAAGAAACATGGCAAATGCAGGGTGGTGAAAGTTTGGGGCTGAAATCAGTACTCTCCAGTCAGAATAATTAAGTTATACTTAGTTTTTCTTGTTAGTGATAAAGGACTGCAGTACTAAGTTCTGTTAAGAATATAGGAGTGTCAGGCCAGGAATACAGTCTTTTCCAAGGAGCCCTGAAGATTAACAGCAACTTGAGATACCTCCCAAGTTAACCCTTTTATTTTAGGTTTGCTTAAGGATGGCTATCTACCTGCAGAGGTGGGGAATTGCAGGTAGTGGGAAGCCTCATCGTGTGTTAGATGTGTCTATATAGCACAATAAATTAATCATTATTTCCATCTCTTAAATTATTAGGTAGACTTCTATCAGGGAGTCAAATTGAAGAGTCTAGGTCAACTGAAATCTCTTGAGTGACTAAGTGATTTTGAATCTCCTTGAATCATTTCTGAGACTCTTATCTGTTTAATTAATAAAATGTTTTTAAAGAAACCTTCTGTTCTGAGCACTGAGTAGTTCTAATACATAACTGTCTAATTCACTGTTACAAATATCACTGGTAAACCTGGCATTTTTACTTTTTGTTACACACTTTCAAAGATTAAAGGCTGACAATAGATATATACTAGTTTTAAAATGTTTTGGATTATTTTAAAAATAAGTTAGACATTTAGGAAGGATTATACATATATATATAACGTATGTCATGTATAATGTGTCATGTATGATATATGTCATTCAACAATGATAGTCATACCATAAAAACAATATAGGAAAACATTGTACAGCTGTAGTTTGCTCATTTTAAGAGCCTGTTGACAACCAATTTCTTTGAAGAAGGATCAAAGGAACTAATTAGATTTGTTTATCAACCCTTGAAAAAAGGAATTATTTGGTAGTGAAAAATGAGAAATGAAGGTGAAAAAACTCAAATGTGACATTGAAATAACCAGCCTTCAGTGCCTGATAGAGTTTGATCAGACAGTGCTGATAGTCTACACTGAGCAAAATACCTACGTACTCTCTCACCTGTGTGCAAACGCTTCAATTTATTTTTTAAAAAATGCGCAGTCATCTCTATCTTGTAAAGCAGGTGGTGCTGCTGTGAATGACGGGGGGGGGGAATTACAAATAAAGTCACCAAGTGCCAAAAAACATTTAATAATGTTCATTGGTATCTTCTTCTATTAGTAGAAATTCTCAGTTTTGTTGTTTCTTTCTGGTACTGGGGATTGAGCCCCCGCGCATCCTACAACTGGCCTCCATCTGCAGACCTGTTATGGTTTTTAATTTTTGGGCAAAGTCTTGCTAAATTTTCCAAATTAGCCTTGAACTTGTGATCACCTTGCTTAGCTTCTGCAGTAACTGGGATTATAGACATATGCCACTGTGTCCAGTTTAACGTACGTTATTTTAACACTGATTTGCATTAAGTTTTGTAACAAAGTCTTTGTGATTTTCTTCACTTTAAGACGGTTGAAGAATAGCAGGGGTTCCACAGATGGACATCGGTACCTTTTTCGTGGCCGGATCAATACGGAAGTGATGGAAGTAGAGAACGTGGATGATGGCACAGGTGAGTGATGAGTGGTTTGGAATGGAGTGCTGATGGCAAGCTCTCTCATAAGGCAGAATTCTGCTGTCCTTTTCTTTTTTGGGGGGTGGTACCAAGAATCGAACTTGGGACCTCGCACTTGCCAGGCAGGTGCCATGCCACTGAGCTATATCCCCAGCCCCAGAATTCTATCGTCATAATTTATCTGCAGTGTTTTAGATATTAGAAATATTTTTCTTAGGTGGAGTAAGCAGTCAGGAAGAAGCAGGAGAAAGGTTAGATGAAGGAGTGCAAGATTGTTGGGAAGGGCTGGGGATATAGCTCAGGGACATAAGTGCCTGCCTGGCAAGCGTGAGGTCCTGAGTTTGATTGCCGGTACCAAAAAAAAAGACTGTTGTGAAAATGGAAAATTGTGTAAAGTGCTGAAAATGGCCGAGCAGTATTTGGTCTGAGAATGTTCATTTCTGATACACAGATTGTGTGTGTAGGAAATATCCAATGAATGCATGAATTCTTTTTAATTTATACTGATACATAACTTATATGTATGATATATACTTTTATTCCTGTAGTATATTTACTGTGGAGTATAAAAAACTAGATTTTTTAGCTACACAGTTTTAACTAATGTGAATAGATCATCAATTTGCTGGTAGGGAAAAGTTGTGGGTAGAGATGATTTGCTTAATTTGAAGTGCTCATTTTAAGTCCTGGCCTTTGTTATGCAAAGGGAACCAATTTTTGTCCTGCAAATTTGAAGGTATGGACTTTTACAGGCAAGTTCATGAAATTATGATTAGCCACACACATTAAGGAAAATGATGTTAAAATAAATTTTATTTTCTATTTGGAAAAAGCTGTCTATAAATTGGGTGCTTAGTAAATTGAATCACAATTCAATATGTCTGATGATAGTAATTATAGTTTCAGACATATACTAGGAAAATGATAAGATGAAATAAAGTATATTGTTTCTAAATGGCTTTTGTTTTCATGTGGAGACACATGTTTATAGTAGTCAGTGTACGCATGAGATCATGGTACAGATCAACTCCCTACCTCCACATACCTCCATTGTCATTCTGGAGTCCCAGAAGGGACAAGAATGTTTACTTTCTGTAGGGGCACAGATTTTCAAATCCTCATATATATGCCATTGCCCTATTCCATTGTTAGCGTTGTAACAAATAGTCAAGTATTTATAGAATCGTGAACCGTAGTTGCAGCAGTTCAGGGGAAATGGAATACAATGAGCAAAACTCCAACGATTAGTGCCTGAGACTGGGCACTCGGTGTAGAGCTTCTACATGCTTGTGTGGAGAGGTTACACACTGGCTGGTGGTGGGATAGAGGGCTGGAGCTGTCGGAGAGCTGATGCAGGTAGCTGTCACGGTTGAAATCCCTTTCTGTGTGGCAAACTCTAACATAATGGCAAATACTCTGATGCCAACATGTAGACCCAGAGGGTATTCTTCTATGGCAGGGTGTACGTATATTTTTTGTAAGTGGCTAAATTCATTTTATGCTTTCTAAGAGTACTGTGTAATGATATTATGTCCAAAAATGCTAGGAGCTATTTTACCTCATTAATCTGAACATTCAGAAGGATGCCCCAAAGCGCACTTCGCACTTGTGTTGGGAGGAAGTCAGATAGTAACAGAAGAACACTCAAACCTCCACCTTGTTCTTTACTAACCCTGTCTTTCCTTAAGGGAACCACCTTCCCTTTTTGCTTTGGAACTTTCATTATTTTCTTCCTTTTTATCTTTTGTTACTTTAGAATGCTTCCTGAGGGACTGATCATCTCCCCCTTGTTTCCCACTTCTTGCCTTATTTCTTCAGATGATATGATTTCCACCCTTTGTACCATCTGTACTGTTGATTGAAGTGCATTTTGATAATGATTATTGTGAGTCTTTGCCTCTGGGAAATTGGGTCACTAGGTAAAGAACTACAAGAGCCTATAGACTTGGGAGGCCTGTGTAGGTGGGGATCAAGTGAGATCTAAAGAGGCGTGAATTTTTATAGAAGTCATTGGATTTAGTCCCATGAGAAAGTTCTGTTGATGCTGGTAGCATTCTAGCCATCAGGGCCTCAGTTCTTAGAGGGAGGAGCTTGTAGAAGAGGCCTGAGTCTTGTGTGTATGAATTAGGGGGAGGACAGGGCATTGTAAGTTATCTACTCATAAACTGTCTGATGGAGCCTCTTTATGAAAATTTGTAAGTCTCAGCTTTCATCGAAATAAGATGGAGAATAATTAGAGTTTATATAAATAGTTGGGAAGGTTTGTTCTCTTCCTTGAACATACACAAGGGCACACTGCGGGAATTGGTTGCAAGTAGTTGCTACAAGATCACTCCAAGACCTTGCAGGCTGCAATTGGATTCCTTTATCAGGCTTCCTACAAGGAAACTCGGTTTCTCATGGGCTTTTGGAAGAAAGCATACATTTTCTACCAGGCTTGGAAATTCAAAAACAGAATTTCTGAAGATGAATAGGATCTTGAAGATCAAATAATATACTCCATTAACATTTCAGATGACAGTCATGAGGCCAAATTGAGGTATTGACTCGTTCAAATGTACCCAGCTGTGGGGCTGGGGATTTAGCTCAGCGGCAAAGCGCCTGCCTAGCAAGCGCAAGGTCGTGAGTTCGGTTCCCGGTACCGGAGAAAAACCAAAACCAAAAAAAAAAAAAAACCCAAAAAAAAAAATGTACCCAGCTGTTTAACAGAGCTGGCGCAAGTGCTCAGTTTGCTAGGCCCCCATGCTCATGCCTGGAGAAATAGGAGAACAGAAGCTTCACACAGGTTTTAAATCCACAGGAAGTAAATGAAAAGCAGTAATGGAATATGTGACAGGAATGATCGTGATTGTTTATTTCTTCTAAGAGCCAGTCTGAATGCTACGTCAATGCTGTCCCTTTCTTGTTTTCTTGGTCATTTCCATCACGGGAGCTTATTTGTTTTTTGTGAGCTCAGAATTTAAGTTTGCTTACTTTGGACTCTGTGAATGAAGTTCTGATGTGATAGAGCTCACCAGAGATGGTTAATGTCTGCCTACCAAGGACTCTCTCAGCTGGACCATCGCTAAGATGAATGAGGGGTGGGCAACTACTATCAGCTTATCTGCCATACTCAGAACTCAAAACCAAGAAACACCATACTTAGATAAATAATAAACATGAACGAGTTGAGATATATTTTAAAGCATGCTTGGAATTTTGGTGGAAAATTGAATGGGAAAGGTTTTCTTCCATTTGAATTGTGGAAATACTGAGTGTTTCTATATACTATGGATGTAAGTAAAATGCTTTTTCTTTTCTAAGGGAGAAGCTTTATTAGACAACTAATTACATTGACTTAGCTCAAAAGTCACAGAAGAAATAATTACATTTGAGATGAGACGAAATTTTCAGCTGACAAAAATAGCTCAAACCTTTTGAGAAATAAGTATGTGTAATTTCATTTATAATGCTGACTGAGTTGCATTCTATGATAGTTATATATTATTCCAGAAAAATGTAATTAAGGATGATGCGGCATGTAGAAGTGCAAAAATATTATTCATTATTTGCTGTGTTCAAAGATATTAACCACTGAATTTGTAGTCAGACTTCCTGTCCACTGTTCTCTAGATTTCAATTTTCCTTTCATTCCTCGGTGAAGATTCTTTCTGGGGATATCAATTCGATCATGACTCATTTTAAAAGTCAAACTTAAAGCACTAGGAGGAATGCTATTCAACTTCCTAGATTTAATTTCTATGGTAATTTTCCTGGTGCGTACTTGGAAAGCCATACAGAAAGTAGCACTAGGTAATTTATATTCTCCTGCTACGACTAGTTTATTTGTGTGATTGGGCAAGGGGCAAGAATGTTAACCTTCAGAAAATGGGGACTGTTTTTCAGTGTTGGGTAAACCATAGATTTCAGTATGATAGTGGAATTCAAATCAGATAAGGTGAATGTTTTTATTCTTAAGGTAGTCTTTATATGACACTTTTAAAGAAAACTATAGCTCTCATTTTTAATAAAATATTTGAAAACATCATGTTTTGAATATAGTTTACAGAAAATTAAATTTTGCTTCCAAATAATTAAATTTTTTAGATTTTCCTTTTATGCATATATTTTAGACATATTTTAAAAATGGACTTGAGATTTTTCTTCCTTTTTATTGATATATGTTTGCACAATATCTTTCCATTGTCTTTTTGTTTGTTTTTTTGGGGGGAGTCCTGGGAATTGAACTCAGAACCTTGTGCTTGCCAGGCAGGTGTTGTGCCACTGAGGTTTTTCAACATCCTTTTTCAGAGTATTGAAGTTTTAATTATAACAGCTTTCCTTTCCTTGGTTAGGTTAAATACCCAGGTTTTTGATTCTTTTTTTCAAAGCTATTGTGAATGAGGTTGTTTTCCCAGTTTGTTGTTTGATGCATTCATTGTTAATGTGCAGGAAAACTATTTTTTGTGTGTGTTTTGCTTTTGTATCCTGCTAGTTTGCTGAGTTTATTCATTCTAGCAGTCTTCTGGTAGAGTTTTTTGTGTCTTGTATGTAAAAGATCATGTCATCTGTGACTAGAGATAGCTTGACTTCTTCCTTTTCTTTTCATATTCCATTTATTTCTTTTCTTGCCTGATTGCTTGCAAAAGTTTTGAGTACGGTATTGAACAGTAGTGGTAATAGCGAATACCATTGTCTTGATTCTGATTTTAAAGGAAATATTTTTAGTTTTTGTCCGGTAAGTATGATGTTACCAGTGAATTTGTCATAAATGGCTTTTATTAGTTTGAAGTAGGGTCTCTTTATACTTATTTTCTTCAGGGTTTTTATCATGAATGAATATTGGATTTTTGTCAAAGGCCATTTCTGCATCTATTGAGATGATTATGTGATGTTTATTACAGGTTGTGATAATTTTGTACCTTCATTTAAAGAAAAGCATCTTAATAATAATCTTAATGAAAAAAATTTTTATCCTTACCTCTTATCACCAAATAAACATAGTTTTTAATTGCTGCATAATAAATTGAATAGATAAACCATAACTACCTTAATCACTGTAACATTATCACGACATCAATTGAATACATTCTTAATTAAAAAGTAACAATATCTTCACAATGTTGAGAAGAGTACTAAAAGCATAATCTGTTCTGATACACTGAAGTTTGAGTATGTTATTAATGTAAAAAATGTATTTGAAAATTAAAAATGATCATAAGAAGAGCTATTTCTAGAGTTTTAAAAGGAAGTTAGATCTGCTCTTTCTCTGCTTCCAATAAATCATATCCTGTGCTGTTTGCAGAGCAGAAACTTTTCTTCTATTATTTGAAAACTCAAAGACTTACTTGTAAAATACAGTTTTCTTAGTATCAAATATTTATGTGAGTAAATACTAATTGTAAAAGGTTCTTAAGGAAATTTATACATTTACATTATTGATCATCAGAATGAGGCCTAAATACATTATTTGGACATCAAATACTTGATGTTTTGAGTAAATATTTTGGCAGTTTCTTCTGTTTCCTAGCCTGTGCATACAGTACTTGGAGACTGTCCATCTTATTACAATAAAAAATTATTGAACAAATACCAGTACATCCACTGAGATACATAATGTATCAGTCTTGGGAAAAATCCCATCTCATTAAGTGAAACTGTTGAATAAAAGTAAGCAATTTGCTGACCACAGAGGTTTAAAATGATGAATGACTTATCAAGTCTCTACCTTGGAGCTTCCTAGTTTGGGGAGAAATCAGATGCTACAGACTGTTGTGCTTGCTTATTCTCCATTTAATGCATGGTGATTTTAATTCCATTTTTAGACACTTTCTATAAAATTAATGTTTTAGATCCATCAAAGCCTGAAAATTTATATGTTTGTCATTTAATAAATTATTTTCTATTAAACTATGTTTTAATTCCTACTAAGGACAGAGGGGCTAGGTTGTATCTTAATGACTGAATGAATGCTTTGTGTGAGGTCTAAATTCAGTCTCCAGCATATAAACAAACAAAACCAGTTGCCCCCCTGCCAACACACCCTTGTTAAGGATAAAAGACTATTGGATTTTCCATGTTCTTGGTGAGACTGTTCCTTATGCTTAATTCTTATTTTAAATATATTGGATAATAGGCTATGATGAAATTATGACTCTGTATAGTACATTTTTTAAAGTAAATAAGACGTAATTGATTATTTTGTAACATGTTTGACCATTATACAATGAAGTATACATGCTACATTTGAAGCATGTTACATTTATATATCTAATGTGAAAATATGTGTATATGTTTAAAATTACATTTGAGTTTTAAAATTGCTATGATAGAAACCAGCCACCATACCAACTTTGTAAGAGGAACATTATTCTTTCATTTTCAGTTATTATATGACACAAAGTGTTGTTTCAGAAATTGGCAGTTGTAGCAACTGAGCTGTAGTTTGAGATAGATTTGGCAGTGTGCTAATGATCTCAGTTTCTGGACATTGAAATGAGAGCGACAAGCAAACAGTCCCATGCTCACTTATCTGGTGCTGAGTTTGGACAATTTCCAAAGGAAGTTTGAATGCATAGCGTGAGTGGTTAGGAAAGGCTTCACATAGGAGAAGATCTGTGCAACAAAAAGAACAGTGGGTATCTGGGTGCGAGCTTCAGCCTGCGGAAGCACCAGAAGTCACAGGATAGCCAGGGAAGTGGAAGAGAGCGAGTGGTGGGAACATGTGAGACTAACATTGAACATAATTCTGCCTCTAATGTAACCTCAAAGTTTTACAGACCCCAGAGCAGTACAACACTATTTGATAATATGTCTTGAAGAGTAGTAGTCTAACAGCAGATAATGCGTGGTTCTTTGGGAACTGATGGAAAGACTGTGGGAGCCAGAGTATGGGAAAATGAGTGCAAGTCATCTGTGTCTACTCAGAACTTAACAAAATAAAACACTGTAGAGATTTTGCCACAGTAGGTAAAGTTTCAGAAAGTCTCTTAACCACCTTAACCACCTTGAATATTTTGTGTCTTGTTCATGGTGTGCTGGGCAATGCTGTTTAATGACTTTCAGGGGAGACAAACGAAAGCTATCACTGTGATTCGGTGCTGATGTTGACCTCTGTCATCCTTTTTCTTTTCTGTCTTGGAATCTTTGGCTGGTATGAACTGTCCTACCAGTAAAGGTTGCTTATAAATTATGTCATTATTTTCTACCTGCTGTTAGGCAGGCAGCTGTGAAGCGTTTGCCGGTGGCGTTTGCAAATTCAACGTAAAGGTTTAACCAAAGTTATGGTGAAGAATTGAGTACGACAATTAAATGTCATCTCACTCTCTAAAACAATTTTTCTGAGTTTTTGTTCCTGTGAATTATATGGAATCAGGTGATTTTGGCTACATAAATATATCTTAATGAAAATAAACTATTTTCTGAAACAAAAATATAGTAATAAAAGAAACAATGTCTTACATGCTGGCAAGTCTTTTCTATATGTAATTTAATAGATGACAACTGGATTCTCAAGTCCCCTTCTGCTAAATCTGTCATTGTATGTTGTTTGGTTTGAAATGTATAAAGAAAATCTGACCTCACAGAGTATGCAATAGGAAAAGGAAGCAACAGTTTAATGCCCCTTCAGATAATTGTGGACTTTTTACTCTGATACCACATCAACATCTGACAAGGCTCATAAAGTTAGCTGCAGTGCAGAATCAAAACCCTATCAATGGCATGTTGGAGTGGTGAGGTTTTGAAGTGTGTATTTTCACCATGGGCCTCGATAATGGCCTGGTATCTGTATGTTTCCATTCATTGCAGCTTAGGTAAATATATGTAGTGTGCTCCATTGACTAGTTTTTCTTTTTATTGTGCTTATAATTAAATATTAGAGAAATGTTCTATGTGATAAAAGCTATCTCTGAAACCTAGAATATTATTTACAGGGAATATTAACATAAAACAAATTTGATTTTGTGAATGTGTGATTGAAAAGAAAATTCCTAAAATGTTTTTTTCTTTTGCTATGAAAACTTGAATACTATTTTTGGACAAAGTAAATAAATATTAATTACTTCATAATAATTACTTTTATTTTCATATATTATGTTAATGTGTGTTAGAAATGTTCCATTATTGAACACTAACTGCATTCAATATATAAACATTTCTTTAATTTTTCAACTTTCATGTTTCTTA